AGTGTTGGAGTTGTTGTTGCTCTTGTTGCTGAGTATATGTCGCTATTTCATCGCTTTTGTGCTCAGCGCATAGATTCATAATTTTCTTCATGCCTGAAAATCGGTTGCATAGAAAATACATTCGCTACTCGCTCATTCGCTATGAGTTTACAAGATAAACGTCTGTGGAACTGGCGAAATACATCCACTTTTATTGCTGAAACATAATGTTGGAATTTATTTTGGTTTTTAGTTAGTTCTGTTTCGCTCGAATATTTGTGTGTTTGTGATGTGCCTCCACCTCTATCGCCGATACTGATGTAGATGCTTCTATGATTACACTGCCAGAAAACTGTAGAAAACACATATTCATACTTCATTTTGTGGAGGGCTGAGTGAACAGCAACAGCAACAGCAACAGTAATAGCAATGCCAAAATGCTATTCCAGATACTTACCGAATCGAATAAATTTCTATGAGTTTCAGTCGATCTCCTCCCCTCTCCTACACAACCGATTCACTCGCTCATTGAAATACTGCTTTGTATTATTGAAGAAGAGGTGATGTGCCAATGCCAATATTATATGTTTCGTGTTATTCGGCTTCCAACCAGATTTTGCCAATTCCAAAGCAGCCAGAGCAAGTAAGTATCGGGCGAAAATCTATCGAACGTAAATGTCGAACCATAAAAAATACATATTATTCGAGAGATGGCAAATACACGCATCAAACAAGGTTTGAAACATTTTGAAAGCACACACACACACATATATATTCGAAAAGGTGAGGCAAAGAGAACGAGCGCAACAGTGAACGAACGCCTCGGTGTGTATTGAGCTGCTGTACAATGTACATACCAAACCGCATCCAGCCACACTACATATTTGGAGTCAATTTAGAAATTTCTTTTTATTTGCAACATCATTCGTACTTTTGACTGTAATAAAATTGAAATAATATTTATGTATCACTCTTTTCCATTTTGTGTGTGTGTGTGTGTGATCCATGAGCCGAACACACAACATTCACACGGCATGGGAGCGCTAAGCTTGCTTTTTCTCTTTATAACGTTCGTTCGCACCACGACGAGCAGCGCCAACAAAAGTATAAATATAAAAAGAAAAATCGAATAAAAAGAAACGCGTGAGAAGAGAGCGAAGATTTGGGAGGCTTCATGCATGTGTGTATGCTGTTTTACACATATTTGGCAAATTATTCGCTTGTATATGTGACGTACGTACCAAATCAAATAAAAACCGTTCAGAAGGTGCTGCTGGTGCCTCATTCCGCTCTTTCACTCAATCGCAATCCTGGGCATCTGAAGAAAACTGTTTTATTTCATTTCGCGTTTTTTTTGTATTTGCTCAAACGTGGGAATCAGCTTTTCCTCTTCTTCTTTCTCTCTCTCTCTCTCACTCACTCACTCTCTGCATTCCTGAATGTTAAACACAGAGTAGATGGCGAAACATGTCGAGAAATGAGTAAATAGAAAAATCACATGCGGAATACGGAATGAAGAGATGAACAGCGACCATCGCGTTCCGTTTAATTCAAAAGCGTCAACCAAACCAGTAGGAAACGCGCTATGAATGCAAGTTAAAAGAAGAAGCAATGACAACGATGGCTATAAAGACGGCAGCGGCAGCAGCAGCAGCAGCAGTTCACCGCAATACCGCCAAATCGTAAGTATGAATTCGATTTCGTCTAATTTATGACGATTTGTGACTTGTTTTTTTGCTTGCATATGTGCCACAGGGACTTTTGGGTGGTTCATCGTAAAATGCCAACACGTACACATTTGGACGCGCATCTCACCGAATTCGCATTCGAAGAACGCACAACAAAACCAAACCAAACCAAACCACTCGTTTGCTCTCACAGTCTTTCAGTACACTGAACCATTCACCACACACAAACACATTACCGTGTGGTGTACTCGATCAACAGCGAAATATTTATGATGATTATTATATTATGTACCAATGTGTTTGAAAATAATCGACAATTTTTGTGAATTTCAACCGCGATGGAGATGTGAATATTCGAGCGCCCACTCGCATCGCGTGCGCGCTCTCTCACACACACTCCTTTTTGATTCCATCATCTTCGTCGTCATCATCATCATCATCGTCGTCCTGTGGCATGTGTGTATCGTACCGTAATTTGCTTCATATGAGTGTAAACGGAAAAAACAAACGTGCAAAACCAAAGAAGATACATAAAACACAAGGAACAACCACAGAAAAAAAGGGAAAAAACATCCGAGCGCGCCACGTTGAAGAGGAATGGAATGTACTTGAATTATTATGGGCACTTGGATATGTATCCCATTCTACCTCCACCCCACCCTCATATCGCCACATATCTCATTCGCACATACACAAACACACATACACAAACTCCTCAGCGACACCCTTTTACCCAATCTCGCCTGTTGTTGTCTTTATTTGAAAAATTTTCGCTTCGAAATGTCATTTGATTTTATGTGCTATTTGTTTTGTGGTTTAGCGTTAGGCGATAAAAGATGACGGGATTTTATTTGCATTTGGCAGAATGTTGCTGTCTCTGTCCCATCTCCCTTTCACACTCTCAGCGTCTCTGTGCCAATGAAGATTTTGTTGTGGCACAGTGACGGCGGTGATGTGTGAACGAGAGTGTGGGAGAGTAAGAGGTCGAAAGCTTGAGGCGGTGTGCAAACATCTTTTAACGATCTCAAGAGTCACCATAACTCTCTTTCTTCCAACATCGATGGATGGGCGAGTGAATGAGAGAGAAAAAGAGAGAAAGCGTGCAAAATCCTTTATGTCACCCATTTTCCATGAGAGACAATCAACAGTCGAAAAAAATCAATTTTGATTATAGTTCTATACTGACTCTGGGCAAAACCACACATATCCATTGGCTGAACGAATGAACGAAAGCATCACATCTCGAGAGAGGGCGAGCGAGCAAGAGAGAAAGAACGAAACACACATTGGAAACCGAAAGACCAAATAGAAATGCCATTAAAAGTAACCAATAAACGGGCAAACAGATGACTTTCGGCATTTAATCTCTGCCTGTTTTTATGTGCATTTTGAAATTTACGCGCGTCGACTTTATAATGCATTACATCCGCATAAACATATTTTATGCTGTTTTATTTCCAATATTCTATTTCGGTTTGCTGTGCTGTGTGTGGGGCGCAACATTGAAACCGTTAGCTTCAGCGAAGCGTGTCATGAGTGAGAAAGGAAATGAGGCAGTAGCGCCCACACCAAAATTGAATGATAGGATCAACGTTCGATACAAATTGATTTAAAGGCGAAAAAATATTAGCCCAAATTAAATACAGGAGCAACGGCTGTGTATATCCAGGGTTGAAAGGAAGAAGCAGAAGAAGCTGAATCAAGCGCTTAGTGGCCATGATCTATGACAGATATCGGATGCCGAAAATTTATGGCTTCTTTAACATTATAATGCATGATATGTAGTAAGGCAAAAGCAGAAGCGCACAAGATTGAACTGTGCTCGAAAATACTTTACTTATACACTTTCTTCCGTTCGCTAGATAAACTGATTTGACCGCAGTGGAATTTTCTTTTGCAGATTACGTCGCAGCCAAGTGAACCGTACACAGACACACACACACACACACACACAATGATATGTGCGATGAATAGCGCAGATCGCGCCAAACCAAACGGGCAAAACTTTTTACCATCTTGCCGTTAAGTCACTTCAGATTAATGACATCGTATTTAAAATTGAATCCAGTCAACCGCTAATATTTAGTGCAAACGAATGTCATATCAATGCTGCGACAAAGACAACTACAATGATGTAATTGGTGAGCAAACACACATAGAGAGAAAACGATAGTAACACACAATGGGCTTCATTCTACTTGCAATTTCAAGACGAGCAACAACCAATTCGGTTCGGTAGCAATTTCGTTACGTTTAGCCAAAAGCTTAAAAAATTTACTATCCATTTAATGCGACAGAATGTAACGCGCTTTTTGTGTTAAACACGCCAATTTATTTAACTATCGCTTTCGCTCTTTCCGTTTCTCTGTCTCTTTCTCTCTCTCCCGCCCTCTCATCGTTGCTATTTATCTGTGTGTTTCTCTACGTTTTTTTTTCGTTGCTGCTTCGTGCGTTTAGCATCCGCGCCACAAGACCAGATCCGTACGGAATATGCAGTGAATAAAACCCTAATTAATGTGCGGCATAGCAACGACCGAGCCAGAATTAATGTGTGCTGAATGTAAATGACACACCGAAAAAGATTTCGGACCCACTCTATTAAGATATTTGCTACTCATTTCTATTATTGCTGTTATCAATTTTGCTTGGACGGCTGCTGCTGCTACTGCTGTGTCCACTGCTGCTACTTTTACGTAAATCAAGCACAAAATCCGCACACACACACACTTCTGTTTTGATCGTAATTTTTCTATCCATACACTTTTGTTACTGTTGCCCTGTTCGAACAATTAATCTGATACCCATCGGGCATTGGTATAGTACTTGAAATATACATATATTGATTCGGAATTGCACGTGCCAAAATCTATTTGATTTTAGCTCTTTAATCATCACCGTGCTACAATATTGTTTGCCCCACCATTCGGATTAGGCGAGAGCACGCATTTTATCTTTCCTTTGCTACGAGTTTATAAAACAAAATTTATAAGTGAGTCAAGTTGTTTGTTACTTGACGGATTATATTGACATATTGAGCGCAATTCAATTGGGCGTTACATCAAGGGAATTTGTAGGAAATCGGTTAATTTCCCTAACAAAACAACGATTCGATGAAAGTTTTCAAATAAAATGAGTGGATACTTTTTTTTTTTATAAAAGACCAATTCATTTTACTTTTGTTATAAAATCAGTTAAAGACCGAGTTTTTTTTCTAATGAAAACTGTGGATTCAGTTGCTAAACACGACTGAACACTCAACAGCGCCCTCCGTTGACCCATAGTCAAACTGTGCAAACAAAACTTCGTTTTTATCGCACGCACACACACGCTACCACTGTCGATGTAGTTCATTGTCACGCACGTGCTCTCTATCTCTGTCATTTGTGCATCGTTTGTACACAATGCCGAAAATCATTCGTCGGTGAACACTCAACGAGTTGTTTCTGTGTTTTTTACTTGGAAGTAAGAAGCATCGATTTGTTTTTAGTTGAAACTTAATTTATTCACTCGAAGTTAGTTAATTTATTGGGAGCAGTAAAACTGCCGAAGAAAAGGTAAGTCAATCTTTGCTTCCAATGAAGAAAAAAAATTGATTTTTACGACAAAAAATGCATTTTGATTGAAACTTTGTCATTTTCAACAGACTGAGCGGTAAATTTTTAAGGTTAGATAGAGTTAATGATGTCGAACATCGAAGTGATGTATGAAGATGATTTGTCGTTGGCCAGGAATATTTCCGTGTATAATCGAGACAAAGATGTATTTGGTGTGGCGGTCGAACGTTTTGATCAGAATGCGTTGCGCGCGTATATTGTGTTGATGTCGGATTTTAAGCAACAGCAGAATGAGATACCACCCGATTTGTTGGCGTTGATTGCACCGGATCGATTTTTTCGAAAGTTGAACGATTCCACAAAGCTGTTGGACGATGAAAAACACTTGAGTAAGTATTTGGTTGATGCATTTCAAGTGATGGCCACCGCTACCAAGTGCATAGAAACGGATCAATTCTACAAGAATTATCATGCGGCACTACAAACGGCATTGAAAGATGAACATGCCAATGTGATATCAGTTTATTTACAAATTTTACATCGATTTGATCGAGTTTTTCACACTGAAACACCGGTCGAAATTCTAAAAACCGTGGTAGATGCGGTACATGGCCCAATTACCGATATGAAACTGTTGAACGAAGCATTGTTACTCATCGAATCGAATGTGGTGAAACGACATAACCTCGATGTCAAATCTCTGGCTAATGAACAACTGTTGAATTTTATGTGGCACAATCTGTGCTCATCGAAAGTGGCCAAGCATCAATGTAACATTTGCTACACCATCATTTCGCAATTGATTAAAGTGTATCTCAACGAGTGTCAATCAAATGAAACATTTCGTGAACAGTTTTTAACCGGCGATTTATGGCATTTCATTCGGGCTGCCATCGAATCCAAAGAGATGATTCGACGCAAACAGGCCATTTATATATTGCAAAATATTTTGGAATCCAATGAAAATGAAGTGATGAGCACCGATGAATGCAACAATGAAACGCCCGTCGATTTGCAAACCGTTTGGAAGAATTATTTTGCCGTGCTGGAGAGTTTGCTGGAAATTCAATGTCATTTGATTTTATCATGTTTGGATCAATATCTTGATGTGATTGTCAAACATTTACCACCATTTTGGTATTCGATTGTTTTTGCACTGGTACTGAAGCATCACAACAACGTTGTTATTCATTATGGCATTGAATTCATTCTGCGAAATGGCATCTCATTGCAACATGACAGCCATTTAATGAATGGATTCTATCAGGCGCTGAACAACACCTATTTGCATTCGGAGGCGAAAATTTCGGAACAAAATTTGGCCAAATATTTCCAAGATTCGGATATGAATCATACACTTGATATTATGATGTTGATTTGTTGGCAACCTGTGCCACTGTGGACGGTAATTAAATCGATTGACGTTTATGTTGAACAGAACAAAGGGAATGGCTTCCAAATTGGTTTATTGCTGGAATTTCTAAAGCGATCGGTGCGTGTTATCAAGAGCATGCCCGAAGTAGATGACATAACGGTACGAATTTTGCAAAATATTGGCATCAATAAATTCACATTGGAACAAGTGCTTGCGGTATACGATGTTATTCCACGCGTTGAAATACTGGATGCATTCAAACAACCGTTGGATTTGCAGCAATTTGAAATGAACTTCATTCAATTGAATCACATTTCCATCGAAACGAAAATTAATTACTTCCAACGTGCCGTACCCAACAACAAGGATCAATCGAAGCTGCTGGATGAATTTTATGAGAAAAACCGCACAATGTTCCACTATTTTCCGCATTATGAATATCTACTGTTTAATAATCTATGCGTTGAAAAATCATTGAAAGACGCTTTGTTTGTCATCAAACCACGCATTTACAATTTGATGAAACCACATGGCAATATTACATTGGATGCACTCAATTTTACGGCGTCGTTGCTCAAATTCATTGTCGATAAGTTTGCCAGCGACCGTAATGATCCAACTACATTTGAATTCATCAATAGAACATTGATCAATTTCTATGAAGTCCTTCGAAAGAAAGCGTACGTTGACAACAATTTGAGCACACTGCAGGAATTCAAAGCACGACTTACCACGATCAGCATGAAGATGACCAAATGCGGAGAACTTTATCCAAATAAATTCGCCGTGTTGGGCGTTTTGGCCGACGCCATCATGCTAGAGGATGTGGATATCGATTTGGTAAAGACAATTTTTAAAAGACACTTTTGAAGACAAAATATTCCTTTTTGTCGAATCAAAGATGATTTCTTTTAATTTGTTTTTCTTCAATTTCTTACAAATTCTATTCTTTCAAATAGAGCCGCTTCGATCCGGACGATGAAAACGATGTGCAAAACATTCAAGGACTCTATGATTGTTTCATCGATAAGAGCTATGAGTTCAAATTGTCGCACCAAGCCAATGTGATACACAAGTTAGTATTGAGAAATATTTGCATTACAATTTTTACCGCCAGTGGGTTTCTATACTCATATCGAATAGTTCTTTATCTATACCATTTTCAATTTATTTCTCCATTATTTTTCAATCTTTGCAAAACATCTAGCTAGTATCTATTCAATTTAATTGTTTCAATTTTTATTTTATTTTTTCTCCATTTTTTCAATTTCACTGTTGCAGAATTTTGAAAAATTTCCAAAATTTGGAGCTAGACATGTGGAAGGCATACCGGATTTTATTGGCTGGAAAAGCTGATGTTAGTTGCATTTTTGAGCAAACACATCCATATTGCGTGAAGAAAATCGATGAAATCCTTGGTGATGCTCTTATTTATGGAAATGAGCTCAAGGGCGAAGAAAAGTAGGTGTTTCGCATCTTATTTCAGTTTTTCGTTTCGTTGATTAAGTTTATTCAAAATATTATTTTCAGGCAAGCATATGAGTTTGTGTCGTCAAAATCGAGGTAATACTCAATCTGAAAACTAAATCCCCTTGCAAATAGCTAAAAAAAGGTGTTCCATTTTCAATTTAGCTCCAACACATACACTCAGAAGGTTCGTTTGACTGCAATGCGCGCAATTGCCAGCAAAAATGATGTGGAGCAAATTCGAAATCTGAAAAATTTGCTGTTTACTAAAAATGGTGAAATCTATCGAGTTCGATATTATACAAATTCTCATCATCATTCGATGAAGCTGCGAATCACACAGGCATTAGCATTTTTATTCCGTTTGGATCCAGAATGGGACGCTCGTATGCTGAAAATCGTTTTGGAAGAGGCAAATCAAACAAATGTAACCCATATCAACGAGCTCATCATTGCCCATACCATTGAGCCATCGCAAATGCTGCAGATTATTGAAAAAGTAGGTGCAAACCATTTGAATTCTTTATCCATAGGAGGTTGAGTTGATGTAAGTTCTAATTTATAACATCTTTTTCATTGATTTCACTGTAGATTGATGGCAACAAAGGAATGCAGTCAATGTTCATGATAATTTACTACGTTTGCTCAAAACAACCCAACAACATACAATTTGCAAGAGAATGTATCGAATTCCTCATCAAATATATCTTCGTGAAGCAAATCATTGTACGAACATCCGCACAAATCGTGTTGATTAACCTGTGTGAGAAATTCGATTTGACGACCGACTTCAAAATTCTGTACGACAGCACAAAAATTGCACATGAAGTAAAAGTGAGTCGGGCTCTTAAGTTTTCGTACGCCTATCGATATCGATTTGAACAAATCGATGCATCGCGAATGCTTCACACCATGTATACGTTGCGTGAAATTCCACGAATCACCAACATGTTCTCCGATGAATATTACAAGCATGAGATTTATGATCCAGATGATTCCAAATTGATCATTCATATCGATGAAGATGAAACTATCGCGGCGCAGGAGGGTGTTGATGTCGAATTGGCTTTCATCGATAATGTTGAGGATACAATTGGTGATCCATGCCATGGGGGCAACGTTCAACGCAAATTGGTTACATACCGTGAAACTTTCGTCGATCGACAGGTTTTGAACAGTTTATCCGATGAGTTCGCGAGACGAGACACGGTAAGAGTGGATAAATATAATGATTCAATTTGGAAAATGAAAGAAATGTAAAAAAGTTCGATTTCTGGAAAAGTTTTTTTTTTCGCAGAAATTTTGTGCACAAAATTTAAAGTTTTGCTAAAGTTTTTATGTTTTTTTTTCCTTTTTCTCAGAAAACCAACAGTAATTTGATCATTTTGGGAAGTTTGCTGACCAAAGCTGCCAATCTTGGTGGCATCTCTCGCACCGGTGAAGTGTTTGGTGTCAAAGCAGTCGCTTTGGATAATTTGAAACATCTGAAGCACAATGACTTCACCTCAATCAGGTAATTTTTTCAAGAAAATTCAACCAATTTGAGAATGAATAAATGTTGATTTTATGACAGAAATTAGAAAAAACAAATACCATATTAGAATAGAAGCGAGTCTTTGGTTGCAAATAGCAATGTTTCAAATAAAATTCCATTTCATTTTCAGCATGGCATCGGAGAAATGGTTGAAATTCTTTGAGGTGAAGCATTACAATGTGGTCAGCTACTTGATGGCAATGAAATCGAATGGATATGCTATTGTCGGTGCTGAGCAAACGGCATTCGGTGGCGAATTAAACAAAGTGCCGTTGCCAAAGAAGATGGTGCTTGTTCTTGGGTAAGCTTCAAGTATTTATGGAAAATTGAATTGTTTCTTGTATTTTTTATGTCACCCATTTTCCTTTTTTTAAATATTTTTCTGTTTGTTTAAATTGAAGTTGTTTTTTTCTAAATTTCAATAAAAACTTCCTTTTTTATTCGAAAGTAATTAATCTTTCTATTTATCAAACATATTCCACGATTTTAATTGTCTGAATTGTTCTTACGTTCCCATTTCAGTCACGAAAAAGACGGAATTCCGGCAAATATTTTGAACTTGTTGGATATGGCCATTGAAGTACCGCAATTCGGTGTTGTGCGATCGTTAAATGTTCACGTTACTGCGTCAATTTTTATGTGGGAGTATGCGAAGCAGCACCTTATCGTCGATCGTTAGTTTACAATCAAAATGCAATCAAAATATAGAAAAGCAGCTCATTTTAAATTGCATGTTTAGAGAAAAGTTCAAAATCAAAATTGAGCAAAAATCAAAAATACAAATTGCTCTTCAAAACAGTATTGGGAATATGCAAAGATTTACGAAATTTTCAAATCCATTGAGGGAATTTCAAACGTTTTAAAAAGTTAAAATGCACATTTTTAATTACGAAATAGTAAATTTTTTTTTATTGCGATATAATTTTTTTAAATATTATTTGGAATCATCGGCGGTATTGTGTGTGATTGGTTAATTCTTCTTTTTTTCTCGTTTCAAATAAAAATCCTCATTTCTTATTTAAATCACAAAAATAAATTGTTTTTGTTTAAGCTGCGTTTGGAAAGATCGTCTTTTCATAAACAAAGTCATTTTCTTGTTTATTCTCTTCTCTCCGCCAGTAAATGGCTTATTAAATATTAAGTTCAATACAAAAATTAAAGTTAAATTTCTAGAAGCATGATGATTTACGTATGGAATAATTTGGTGAAGAGGTGAGAGTGTCTTTGGATTAAAAGTGATTTTTCTTCGGTTGTTGATGTAGCATCTCCATAACTTGTGTAGAAAATAGTTGGTATTCTGTTTTTTTTTTCAAAAAACATTTCAAAACTATTTCTTAGGTTTCAAGTTGTGTTTATTGTGTGAGTGAGTGTGTTTGTTGTTGTGTGAGTGGGGTTGATTTTTGTCGTTGTTTTTGGTTGGTTGTTTAAATGCGTTCAATCGATATGTTTTTTCTTCTTCAATTTCTCATTTGAACAACGACACGTTTGCTAAATGTTCGAAGCATCTGACATGATTGAGTTTCGGGGACAAAAACAGAAACATTTCAGTCGTCTAAAGTTTGCTAGCAGCGCTAGCCTAGCATTAAGCTGGTTTAGAATTTTAAAAGCCCTACAATTGACCCGCGATCTGGGTGATCAATTTAAGCAGTCTAAAGATATCCATTTTTTTTCTCTCATATCGATCGCTATGGCTGAAATCAATCATTCGTTGTGATTTCCAGATGTTTTTTTCTTCTCCTTTTGTTCAGAAAGAAGAATAACAACCCAAAAACAGTTTTTGTTTGCGCTACTAGGCCTATTATTCATTTATTTAGTCTAATAGTTAGTCGTAACACTTCCAGTTGAAGCTGTGATCACATCGGTTAGTCGTTAGTTTAGAGTTAAAGTGGCTCGATCTCGCAATGGCAGTAGTGGTAATGCTTGCGGTATTGGTCACTAAGTGACTGGCTTTGCACGGACACTGTTTGTAATACTCTTGGTTATTTCCCCAATGAGCTGCCCATTGAAGCTAGGCATTTTCTTTGGCGTGGTTGGCGGTGGCGCTGTTGGTAAATCGGCCAAATTACACGGAATTTTGAGCTGATTGTATATTTCCTCGACACGTCGCACTAGACGATCCGAATACTTATGAGCAGTTCTATCCACCACTGATGGCGCTTTGATACAATCATCACCACCAAACTCGCACACCTTTTGAAATGAGGCAAAAATTGATTAGTCTTGTATTTAAGGGAATAAGAAGATAAACAAAATCAAGAACACTCACTCGATAGTGATGTAGAATGCCAGCATCAGCCGGAACGTTAAGAGAGCCTCTCCCGGTGATGAACTCCCACACCTTTGGGAATAAAGCAAAAATTGATTAGTTTTGTGTTTAAGGGACTAAAAAAAAGGTAGAAAAAATGAAACATACGAAATGGTTGCCTGCTTCAACGACAGCATCAGGTTTGCAAATGTATTTCGATCTCTGTTTTTGTGGATGCAGCTTTGCGCGTCTACGAAAGAATAAACACAAAATTCAATTTCAAACAAAACAAAAAAGCCAAGACAAATTCAATTCACCCACCTTCTTGTTTTCCTTTGTGTGATCAAAGCAGCTCTCAAAGCAAGATTGACTGAGTTGTCGTGTGAATAGACGATGGGATCATCGGGAAATTGTAGATAGAAAAATGAATTTTGAAATGAGTATGCTCCAGTGTTTCGGCCGTTTATTCGGTATTTCATCCATCTGGAATTTAAATGCCTTCATTAAAGTTAATTTCAATCTGTATCGTTTTAAAATCCATCTCTACCGTTGCAACTTACTTCAATAATTCGCTTAGCGTGTTATTATATCGTGGAATGAGAAATTCATCCAGATCAATTAGCGCTAGATGTTGATACCTGCAATGAATAATAGATGAATAAAGCGCAATGAAATCGGCGTGTGTTTGTTTGATTCGAAAAACGGAAAATGTAAACAAAATCGTTGTTTACCTGTACATGTTTCGATAGACACAATCGTTCAAGGCTGCAAAGAGTCCTTCAGTTCGTATGTCCTTTTGTGAGCGCATTCGAAGATCCCATGGTAACACATTGACGGTGGCTCGTTGATTGGCAATCGGACGACGATATTCACTTTTCGAACCATTCGATGTGTCATCGGCTAGAAAATCCCCATTCATATAGTGTTTCAGCACACACGATGCTCTCGATCCGAGTGTATGATTGTAGAATGTAAAATGCGACGCACCGAGAATGGTGTTCAATTCCAAGAATTCGAGCAAATGCAACGCCTGATGGGAGGAATAATAAACAAGAGTCGAAAATTGAGTTTGATTCGATGTGTTCGAGAGGTAAGCAAGAATGCATGCATATACGTGACATTATTTGTGTTGGCTGAAATGGAAAGCAAACAAGATTTTCTTCCTTACCGAATCGTAATCAAAATGGAAAGGTTTCACACAAACGCCAATTTTATCGGGTATATTTGTGATATGTGTCGTATTAACTAAGTCGACATCGTCATCTGTATTGCGAACGAGCAGCACATTACCAGCCGGATTCCGAAGTCTGCTTACAACGCTCACTGCATATGGTACGGTGATATCAGGCGCTGTTACTGGGCATAGCACAAAGCACGCACTATATTTCAAATTCCAATTTTCACGTATCACCTGGATTCAATGGAAAATCGTGGGGGAGAGAGAGGAAGGGAGAAAAGCGAACGGAAAATGAATTGCGAAATGATTTGATTCGAATGGTACGGAATAAAATATTGAATAAATCACAAGTAAAAATTGAAAGGAAATAACGTGAATCACGTCATGGCACAAGCGATATATGCGCTATGATATTGAAGTACATACCTTAACGCGTGCCATTATCGACACCGAACGATAGGTGGGTGCAGTTGCATTGCCAGTATTGTAGAGAAAACGACACCAGACCTTTTCTGGTACTCGAGTTTTTGTCGCACCAATAATGCGTATCAATTTTCCACCACGACGATCATAAAAGGCAGAAAAAACGAAGAATTTAAACCGTGTTCCGTTGACAATTTGCCATGAACCATCGGTTGGTTTCGTTTCACTTGTATACGTTGGTAATGTGCGTTCAATATTCACGGGTAACAACGATCCCCATGCAACATTTGGAATTCCGTTTGGATTTTGTCGCTCGTTCGTGTCACCTATTTCAAAAGTGGCAGAAGAAAAAGGGAATGCTTTTAGTGAATAGGTTTTCATGCTTTTTCTCAATATTTTTTTCGCTTTTGATAATTCTTTGGGGAGAAATTGAGAAAAACTATTTTCCGTAAGAAATCTATATCGCTTTTTCCTGCGACGGGATATGTCTATTTAAAAACGTCTTTGTTGCTTTTTTTAAAGGATTTTTTTTAACCTTTTCCACTGAAAACCTGTCATTCATGTTTAAAACTCACCACGATGTTTATCCCGAAATCGATTACGTAGAAAAACGGCATCTTCAATGCTATATTCATCTTTAACATCTTCATAGTCCGGTATTGATTCGCCAAAGCGATTGAATCCGGTGTGCCTGAGTGTACCGCTACTGCCGAACGTTTGTGACTTATTTTTCTCATCAATCATCAGCACTTCGGTGAGGATGATGAGTGCAAAAACCGTGAAGAATGCGATGACAATTAGAAAACTCATGCCAGCCCGTTTTTTCTCGTTCCATTGTCGCTTGTATGATCGTTTGCCTCGGCCACCGCTCGTTCCACCCAGCAAACTTAATTTACTGCCATCCGAACCGTGTGAATACATTTTTCTTCCCTCTTCGTCGCGTTATTATTTGATTGGCATGAGACTACTAAATGCCACACATTGTTCACCTAGGTGATGTGTTGCACCATAATGGCTGCAATCGGAAAATTGACGATTCCAAATGATGATTTTCCGTGTTCTGCAATGAAATACTACAATTTTCTTTAAAAAACCCTGAACTTTTGAACCCACTTAAACAGAAATAATAACATGAAAATCAATTTGTGATGTACAATTTTCCACTGCACTGGTTTTGACGAAAAGAAACAACACGAATATTTTCTAGCGCAATATATAATGAGTTTGGTCATGCAAGCGAGAATATTTCAGCGGAAAATAACACACATTCATAAATGAAAATAAGTTCGAGTTGAAATGTGAATAAATTCATCGAAATGAAACGAAACAACGAATACGAAATGGTAGAGAGAAAAAAAACGAAGGATATTTGGTTTATTGTGTCAATAAATTGAATAAATACCAAGTGAATTGCTGCTACGATACAGTTTTGATTAATTAAAAAATGAACATCGTTCCAACTTGGAACTTCCAAGTATGTGTACATAAGTTTCCAATTATGAAAATAACAAACAGAGGGAAAAAAATCAACCAACAATCTGAAGTGGATGATAAATGCGAAACTCTAATGATATCGTTATTTCATTATCGCCCGTTTGCCAGCTCTGCGAAGGAAATTAACAACTTCCGAACACACTGCAATGTTAATTGTAGTGTTTGAAGAAAGGTTTGTAGTGTTGATGAGTAGAGATGAGCGAGTGAAATGTGTTCACTCTTATCATCGACAGCAATCGACGAGAAATAGTGAGAGAAAACATTTCTCAACTGTGTGACACTGCCCTACATAAGGACAACATACACAAAATTATTGTGTGATGTAATCGCTTAGCGTGTTAACACACTCCGTTCAGCTTAACGTACGTATCTAGTTTTCTTGTCTCTTGCAGTCATCAACTTCATTCTCGTTGTCGTCTTGTGCTGTGTCATTAGAGTCGGATGATAAACACGGAAAACGTTTTATGTTTGCACATTGATTTTTCAGCAAAAATTCTTGCACACTCACTCACACAAACACACATACAAATCAAAGTGCTGTCTATTTCGCAAAAATTAGATGGAATTAAAATATACGTAGGTGTCTTTTTCTTAAAATCGTCAAAAAAACATCATCAAAATCATGAGAAATAGCAAGAATTGCGCGCGTTCTATCCAAGCACAAACAGACACATTTTTCGAGAATTGCAAAACAATACGCGTATATATGTAATAGCCAAACAAAAAAAAAACAGGATATTTTCCTCACTCTTTCGTCTGTGTTTTCTCTCAAACCAATTTACCTTGTTTAGTCGGCCATTTCTGCACACGGTTCTAGCTCGTTGTTTGACGGCTGCTATATATGTTTTTCTCGTGTTGTTTCGATTTAGCTATTTGCACACAAACAACAGACAAGCTGCTGCTTCTGCTTCTGCTTCAAATGGAGGATGAGAAGAAAAAAAAATAAACAAGGCTGAGATAATAATTTCGCTTCGCGCTGACTCTCTCTCTTTCTCTGTCGTGTTCGCTGGCTGTGTGTTTTGCTTTTTCACTGCGGAAAAAATCGATACACCATTGTTTTTCTGCACGAAATTTGATTTTTCCTCTTCTACGATTCGGACGTCGCCGTATTTTATTGTGCAAATATTATTGAAAATCAACAATTTAACGTTTAATTAATGTTCATTGTGTCAACATTTAATTTTGTTTGATTTGTGAACACAGAGACAGTGAAGAAAAAATGGCATAATTATGTGTGGATAGCGACGACAACGACACGATTTTCACATTTAATTGCCACCGAACGTTATACACACAGTACCGATTGGCGGTTTGTGCACAAATGAAACAGAAAAGTGACACATTCAACAACTTTGCCAATCGACCATTTTCAGGAGAATATATCGCATATATTGGCGATCCTTGTCCGTCACTATGTAAATTCATAGCATACGCGACATACATTCGTTTCGACTGAATGCTTCAACCGAAATATGCGCATGCCTCGAATTCAAACAACGGATATGTTTCCCCTGTATGTAAAGTATATGAGACAATGTTGTTTGGCAATAAAAGAGGGTGAAAAAGTCCTTTCTATTTGCTTACCTCTTGAGTATTGAAACATCAGTTAGTATATGGTCGTGTATTCAAACCAGGTGAGCGGTTTTCAATTGATATCACATTGGGAAATTATTTACCCACACCTTGTCTATTGGCCCATAGAGGTCTCTTCAGTGTATAGCATTGATTGACATTTCAGCGACAGCTCAACAGTTCGGAACATGTGTTCATTTGACGTTTCATAAAGTTTGCCCATTGCATTCATGCTAAACATTTATCACAAATTGTGTTGTAAACAATATATCGTTTAAAGTGCAATTGGATCTGATTTTCCAACACAAACCATACACATTTTCCCGTCAATCTTTGGTAAGTTGTAAGATTTTGTACATTTATCCAGATCGTGCCCACAAATTGCAAGAATTTCAATGCAGCCAAATGGCAGCTTCGTAATGTTTTTGTTCAGACCAACAAGTCTTTGGCTGGGGTTAAGTCGATTCAGAGGTTTTGCAACCAATTTGCAATCAACAATCAAAACTTATGTGTGCAATTAATGATACGGTTGCATCACCTTTTCATTGGATAAACGTGTAATTAATCGGATTAATACAACTTTCTGATCATACTAGTGCTTAGAAATGACTTGAAATTCGGAATGGAACTAAAAATAGTGCAAATAGATATTGATTCGTCATTGTTGAATAAGCGATGGAAATAGTGAAATTCCATCAAATATGAAACCATTTCAGTGAAACATGAAACGACTAAAAATAAAATGAAAACCATTTTAACACATTGAATTGGTTACTACATACATTTACCTAAAACAGAACCACAGTCTTATAGTGAATTTTAAGTTCTTTACTTGAAGTCAATAAAAACGAACGACTCCGGCAAAAGAATGTCAAAATAGAGTGCTGATTAGCAATTCCAATTGGTATGAGGTGATTCGTACCTATTTATGTAAGTCAATAAAGCATGAATGAAACAGTGCGATATTTTGACGTCAACATTTGCTTAGCTCAAAACCATCGACTGCATACGTACGTATTCTTCTGACGATGTGGCTTGCATGTTTTGGTCAAATCAACAAATGCTGTTTATTTTCAATTTCAGGCTTTATTCTTGTTTCATATAACCAAAGCAAACGATTCCAAAAATGGTTGTAATGCCAACTCAAGCATAAATCAAATTCCAGTGTTTATTCAATTGTTTCTCTTCTCATTGCATTGAACAATTCACAAGTTGTCGATTATATGCATCACATTGTGTATTTCTTTCAATCTAGTTTTGCTGAGATTGTTCAACATTTGGTAAGCATGTGCACATGTGTGTACGTATGTGTACACTGGCATCGTTTTGAGCAATCAAATGCTCTTGTTTGCTCTATCTCAATGTGTCGTCATTGTAATACAAATCGAATTACATACATGATTTGATTGTTGTTCTTTGGCCGAAACGAATACCATAAGAAATTACCAGAATTCCATTCAGATCGTCGGTCTATGCTCACTCTCTCTCTCTCCCCGTCTCAAGCGCATACAACTCAATAAAACCACATGAAAGTGACTGTATACTGTGTGAAATGTGTGTCGACCAAAGAAGTGAAAAAAAACCCTTCGAAACGATTTTCGTTGGTGTCGTGTGCCGCGCAGGCTGATACACACAAACACACATATACAATTGCACATCTCTCTCGTTGGGTACATGGAGAAAATTCAAGCAGCGCGTCGACAATTCGATCTAAAATCAGTCAAGCACAAATGTTTTGGCGTTGTTTTTCTTCTGTTATTTTCCGCGATACGTTTTGCTTCCACACGAAAATGGCGGTATGAGATTTTGTATCTACGTGTGTGTGTGTGTATGTGTGCGAATGGAAAACACAAACGAGTCGGTATGCATGGAAGCGGCAATGCCACACACATAGACAAAATGAACGACAACTATTCATAAACAGGGAAAAACATACACGTTCGTTTTGCCGTTTGTTGGCCATTTCATATCGTAACCAAACAGCAGCATTTAGTAGTTGATTTACTTCTGTGCTGTTTAGTTGAAAACACTACTTTTTTCCCTTCTTTAGTTTACATTTTTTCTCTTCAATTCTCTCTTGTAGTCGCAATCCAATTTACTTCGACGAACTCCCTCGAGAGAGAGAGAGAAAGAGAGAGAGAGAATGAGAACGTTGAACAACAAACAAAGTGCAATTGTAAATATTTGAAGCGACAAAAATAAAAACTTTTAACAACGACAACGACAACGACAACGACGACGGTGAATACACATTTTGGCCGAAGTACGCGACGTGAATACCGTCCACAAAAGTTCTGGACTTTTGAACAATCGCGAATAGAACGAAACAAACGGGCAAATGTGAAAACAGTGATAACAATTATACCCTAGTCCGGTTGTAGCCTATTGTTTAGATTAAAAGAGACACACAATCATCGTGTAATAACTGATTCAATTTTGTACGACCGTCAATTGGCATTGTCACTCTCATTGTATGAGGCGTGTTGTGATGATTTTCATGTTTTCTTCTGAACAATTTCTTTTTCTCGCAATTTTCTGTTGAAAACGGACAATTTTTTCAAGTGATTTTACACAAAACCAGTTTTTGTGCGACGATTTTCGTTTGTCTACAATCGTTTGTTTTTCTATTTGTTTTTCTACTGCGACAACATCCAATTATAGCAAGAAATTCCAGTGGCTTCAATTCCGCCGCCGTAGTTAGCGCGTGTTCATTGTGCATCGAATTATATAATAAAAGAAAAATATTATACAATACATCGAAAAAAGTGTAGCGAGACACACGTAGCAAACAGAGAAGAAAAAACCCTTGAACTGAAAGAACCAGTTTTAGTTTTTTTTTTTCTCATTAAAAATCAAAGTTATTTATCGTAGTGAATGTTAATGGTGCAAAAAAATATTATTCACGTGCTTAGAAAATTAGTTCCAGGGTCCATGTGCGAAAACTATTTAACCGAATAGAAAAGAAAGAGAAGGAAAAAAAGCTTCAATTGTATGTGCGTTTAGCCTGAATTTGATTCTGTTGATAGAGCCGAAATATTTTCTGCGTACATAACACGCTTTGCTTACATCATTATGGACAATCCAAGCTTAGTGTGAATTTTCGCGAGCCACGGCACATATTCAAACATAGGAGTTGCTGCGTGAAAGCGTGCAAAATGAAATGTCACGTTTCAACACCTTGGCTTGAATCCTCGTCTGAGTGTGAATGGGCGAAAAAAACAGCCTCATTAAATATGTGTCGAATGATGATGTGCATTTAAGAGATTTTCGTATGCATTAAATCGAAGTGTATTCAGCGGTCTACTTGAAATGCAAGCAAAATTCTGAGTTTAGACAAATAGTAAATTTTCCGAACATTGTGCGAATCAAGAGAGCGATTGGGAGAGAGTGAGGTGTTTTTCAATACAGAATAGACAGTGTAGAATCATTGTGTTTGAGTTGTAATTCGAACGACATGTACAGAATCTGTACTACAGATGTACGTACACATGTATTTAGAACACCAACAATACGAGAGACAAGGCAGCTAGTGAGCGCGCGCGTACGTCAATGATATATCACACTCTGGCATACTTATCACATTATCATCTGTTATTTTAAGCACACATGAAAATCCTTTCTCAACGATATACATCACGAACGATGAGCACCGAATAAGCCAGACAACCAATCAGCCAGCCATTGAGTCAACAGCAAGCGATACACTGTGCAAATTGAATGAGTTATACCACTTGCTTTGTATGTGTCGACCGAAAACAAAACAAAACCAAACACACTAAGGAAAAAAAGCGAACGGTTCGTGTAGAATAAAGCAAAGGAGTTCAAGTGACTTTAATAACTTTTAGCGCAAGCACACGACAAGAACGTATTTGTGAACCATTTTTTGTGGCTTTTTTGCGTGTTTTCCCGCTCGACTGACACTTCAACCAATATGAGCTGGCGCGAGCGCTATTTGTGAATTATGATAAATGTCAATGGTGCTTAATATGAATTGACTTCCAAAAGACCATAAATTATAGACTGTGAGAGCTTTTTTTCTAGTTGTTTTTGTTCTTGTTATACGAAATAAATAGCAAAACGTGTGGAAATTGTATTGACTGATTTATTACGAATTGAAGATATTGATACTGCAAATAATGAATATTTCTCAAGCACATGAATGTTATTAGTGCAAATGAAAATCCCATCGCACGTTGAATGAGAAAAAAAAGTGACTTAACAAAGAGAGACACTTTTCCAATGAATCTCTTCGATGATATGTCGTTGCAATCGTTAGTTGAATGTAAATGTGTAGATCATGCTCGCAGAGCAAAATCATACGACGACCATAACAATACAAACGATCGAAAATGGCACCAATGTTCCAATCGAATCGCCAATCAAAAAATCCGAACGTCGTTATCCGAATCGCGCTAGTTACACGACCAACAGTAACAGCAGTAACCACAACACTAGCGGTTCCGAGTACACATCATCAACGCCAACCACAACCGTAGTTTCAACTAGCGGCAGTGACTCGGATAGCAAATCTCGTCAGAAATTTGCCCAAACATCTTGGGTATCATTTCAGGATAATTTAAATGACAATTACTTGGAACGTGGTCGACGAATTAATGGACTCCAACTACCACTCCACCCGCTTCAAATAAGCGGTTGGGTGGCATTGTTCGGTTTTGGTGTGTCGACATTTTGCGTCCTAATTCCAGCTTTGCATCCCGATTTGCAAGCACCACTTTTTATCATTGTAAGCAGTTTGTATATAATACATGGATGCTCGCATGTCGCAGCACTGCTAATCGATCCATCCGATTCGGAGCTAAGGAAACATAGCTCAAAACGTATCGTACCTGAATTCGATCGCACAAAACATGCACACGTCATTGAAAACGGGCGATGCCATTTGTGCAACATAAAAACAACCAATTCACGTACCAAACACTGCAGCGTTTGTAATAAATGCGTCGCACAATTCGACCATCATTGTAAATGGTAATTTTTCTTCCTTTTAATAGAAAAAAAGCTCTCTTTGTTCTTTGTGACTAAATTTGTTATTTGAACCTTTGTGAGCTTTTATTTGAACTTCTTGAATTTTATTTTCCACGCATTTTTTTCAATACTTGACTTGTCCTTTTGCTTTTGTTTTACTTTCTTCTTTTGGTTTATTTTTTTTATCCTTTTGTCATTTTTTTCTGCGTTACCCTCTTATTGATGTCATTCAATCAAAACCGACATTAATTCATTCAATTTTGCGCGTCATTTCATTTTGCACTGAACAGGTTAAACCATTGCGTAGGTGGAAGAAACTATGTTGCATTCCTTATGTGCGTGGTGAGTGCCGTTATTGCGGCCATGGTCATATTGGCCGCTGTTGTCGCTGAACTCGTACTCTACTACATGAAATCAGAATGGTTGAACATTTGGTCGGCGGCGGTCGTATCTACAGCAAATTTAACCACCAGCCCAAATGGCAATGATACGCTTATCAATAGTATTAGTGGTTCCATTCCATCGGCCATCTTTAATGAATCATTTATCACGGCCGTGATAAATGACACAACCATACCACCGGAGACGGTATTTAATGTCACCGAAACGATATTCGATGAGGCACAAGAAAGGACAACAAATGTAACGGCCGGTATTAGCTTACACGATACCATTTTCTTGACATTTATTTCGATTATTGGTATTTTGGCTGCGATTACCGTCGGTCTGTTACTTCATTTATGCTTTTTCCATGTGTACATCTCGTTTTTGGGATTAACCACATACGAATACATACGGAATCAACGGCATGTTGAAACCCAAAATCAATCGAAGAAAACACTGACGACCATCGCCGCCACAACCACTTCCAATAACAAAACAACATTGAATGCGCTGAAAAAGTCGTCAACGGCAAATCAAATCTATTTTTGTTCACACATCGATCCAAAGAATTTGGTCGAAAATCATAGCACCAAAGCAAAACATCGACCCAAATCAATATACTGTTGTGATGCATCGATGCAATACGATAGTTCAACGCATACAGCGTTTTATTTTTGTTCGGTGTTACACGATCGGCCGTCACCAATTTTGGTTCCATCATCAATGGCACATGAGCTCACGCTGAACAGTAGCCGCTCAAGTCGATCGAAAACCTTCCATTGTTGTTCAGAGTACAAACAAATTGTTAAAGTGTCCGGGACGTCTAGTCAAATTGGTTATAGTATTAACGGCGAAGAAACCGTCGCTCATAATGATGAAACAATGACCGAAACATCAATATCATCATCGGTCGCCGATGAATACGTGAAATTCATGGAACAATGCACATTTTGTAGTTTCAAACTAAAGTCGAAAATGAAAAAGTCCAAAGTGGCCACTATCGAATCGAATGCACCGCAACTGAACAATCACCATCAACGTTCGGAAATTGATTTGAAAGCGGTGCGAAAACCGAAATGGAATTGTTGTTCGAATGTACCCGAAAGTCCAGACTCAGAGATATCGGTGACTCCACAAATCGACACGATATCTGCTTCAATTGATCCAAAAGCCAATCGCAATCACATCCATCATCGCCTACGTGGCACGTATGATGAACACAAATTACATCCGAAAAACGGTGCCAAATCAATGAATTCAATCGCAAAGTTAACAACAACAACAGCAACAGCAAACGGATCGATTGTCAAGCCAATGAAAGAGCCAATCAATCGAAAGAATCGGTCGGCGTCGTCATCGTCACTATCAACGAGCTTGAAGAGTGGCAATCGATCTCGTGCAACGGCGGCAACGCAACGAACATGGCCAATCCGTATTCGACACATGCTTCGAATGTTTGGTCGATGTCAACAACCGCATTATCCAAACAACAATTCCCATGTAAATAGCGGCAATAATTCAAGGCACCATCATCGACCCCCATCACCGCGCCGTCATATTAAACAAAATCAGGTTCGGCCGATGGATATAATTGAACAACAATGCGAAGAGTTGCAACAGCAACGTCGACAACAATCGTCGTCGTCGTCGTCGTCATCGTCGTGGTCCTCATCGCATGACACAACACGGAATCATCATTTGCATAAAGCTGCATTAACCGACCGAGACGATATATTGGAAAATAACAATCTGCCAAACGAATTGGTTACAATGAAATCGATTACAACGCCAGCACCACCGCCGCCCGTACGACGTAAAATCAGCAGCGCAGCGGCTGATATGCAAGAATTGGCCGAATCGCTGTCGTTTGTCCAAAATCCGTCGCATCATCACCATCACTATCCGTCCAGAGGGAACAAACTGAAAGAGCAGTTCCAGCAAAAAGCACCGTCCCAACAACGACCCATCCTTGCGATCAGTCGAAAACGGCGTAAAAACATTTTCCGTAGCCCGAATTTGTCACCCATTCACGAGTCTGGCTACTCCAATCCAACGTCACCGAAACCATGTCGCCACGGTGGTACACAACATGATAGTGAATCGAGTGCATCGACACCGAAAATTTCCCACCAATACCAATGAAAACGATGAAGCAGAAAATAGCAAAACACACATACCGAATCCGAATTCTATGCAAATTGATTTTCTTTTTGCAATGGTCGATTCAAATGCCAAAAACACTTAAAATACACAACAAGAGACACAACATTCACATACCGAAATAGTAATACATTTAGAAACGAATTCCATTCAAAACATATTTCAGGCAGCTAAAAATGTTTCAACATAGATAGACTCAATTTTTGCGATGTATTTTCTTGCTTTTGTTACGCTGAACAATTGATATTTTCGATTTAGAAACCAATTTACCAACTACCGAATAAAAAACTTAAAAATAATCATACCAAAAAAACTGCAAAAATGTCAACGTTTTGTGTTGTATTCTAGAGCCAAATTTCAAATATCGAGTTTATAGTGTGTATCTAAATGAAATCATAAAAATAACCCAAACTACTGAACTGCAAATGTTGTAGGTGTAAGCAATTAGTATAATTAAATCGGGAAGGCAGAAAATTGAACAAGGCAACAACGGAAACCAAAAACAACATCACAATTTAGCATGTAAAATTCAAGTGTAATGATTTAATTGGAACGAACAAGCACAAAAGTCATTGTGGTAGCAAAGCGTAAATAGAATTAAAGACATTGATTTACAGAATAAAAGAAAAATCTCAAGTCTATTTTCATTTAATTTCATTGTGAAGAACTCTTTTTTTCTGCTGTCCGTGTTATTGTTGTTGTTGGTGTGAGTCGAGTGCAATCGTTTTTGATCGCGAATGAAATGAATTCTCGATTGGTATGCGGTAGCGTTGGCCGTAATTGCGTTTTTTTGAATTACCCATCGTTTGCGTAAATAATTTACCATGAATCCTCTTGCGAGCGAGTGTCTATTTCGGGCGATGCATCGCCGGTCTCTTTGAAACGCAATATCGAGTCTTTTCAAAATGAGCGACCGCACAGCACACATAAATGGTGACTCGTGAGCTTTGCCCCATCAACAAATGATGTCATAAACTGAGTCGACGACAATTTTAAAAAGCCATCATGGATAGAAAATACAAGAGCAACAGAGTGCAAAATTTAAAAAGCATTCCACCCAATATCATGTTGCGCATACTTTTCAGCCTTTTTCCCTATTTTCCTAAATGTGAGAGGTGGCACGTGTGCTTGCAGATTGCATGATGTGTATGTGCGAATCGCATATACGGTTCTTTTATCGAACAGACTATATCTGGGAAAAATAGACTCGCTTCGTGCGAATACAGTTATTATGTGCACAAGCTGAACTACAGATTCATTAACATTAACCTTTGTGCCTGCGTTTTCATTATTAAAAGGGGCATAATATCGATTCCGTGATAAGTTTTTTCCTTTCCTTCTCTCTCTATTCGTCTCTCCCTCGTTCTCTCTATGTTCATTCTTGCATGTGCTTTCATTTTGGCTTATTTTGTTTGCACATGCAACCGTTGCTCATGCTTTTTCATTTCACCCCGTCAAATATATACACGACAATGAACGTTGTTTGGACAGCTACCAAGGCAGCCTGGTGTTTTTAGCTGCCATGGATTTTCCTTCCATTTCACATTATGCGCGCGCGCGCTCACTCTTTATATCTCTTTCGCTCGCACTCTCGCCGCTTTTGCTGTCATTCTTCTCTAATTACCATAATTAAATCCTATTTAGAATATCAAATATTCATCAGCATGAAATGGAACGCGCCAACCAAGTGAGCAAACCAACACTCACGTGTGCTTTCTCTGCGAATTTGCTCTGGGCCTCACGGAGACACAGATTAAACATGCAACTAATATTCTACCCCGAAATAAAGATATTTCGAGACATTTTGGCAGACGGCACACAGCCATGCAGAATAATGTTGCCTTTTATCTCTCTCAATATATCACAACTGATTTATGAACAATGGCAAATCACGTTGAACGCAAAACCATTTTTGGCAGTTTCCATTTTTTTTTTCATTTGAAACTTGGACACAAAAACACCCGATTAGCATTCAAAATGTGCGTTACACGAAAGAGAGCGAGAGAGAGTGAAAGGTGGCGAGAAAATTCATTTTCATATTTTGTTGCTGTTTTTCGCGGTTGAAATTAATTTGCGGTACTCAACGCAATGAATCTCGCATGAGTTTTCCATGGAAAATTTACGCTTTTTATCGTCATTTTTTTTACCTTCATATTCACTACATCCACGGTGTGTATACGTACGTTCGTTAGCCAAAAATTAATTGGGATCGGGCCGTTGATTAATTGCAAAAATGTCCATTGGCCAGCAATTTTAATTGGATGAAATGAGGCAAACGTCGGTTTAGTTCTTAAAACCGAGTGTGTGTGTGCTTGTTTTAAGCAGCGTCTGTTTGCTCAAATGAATTTCGAGTGCAAAACCAACGCGCTTTTATAATGGCCTTACACGAGAAATAATTACTTCATTTTATGGTGGTTTTTCTTGACTACTTATAAGTTCCGCCAGTTTTTCTTGCTCTCGCACATTGAATAAAGACTTCATAATCTATTTAATAATTTCCATACTTGATGATTAGCTCGGTTCCGTGCTGTTGGCTACACAGTTCTTTTTTCATTCATTCACCACCGCCATCATCATCTTCTTTCACCGATTCTTTCATTCATCTCCGAAAAAAGAAGTGGAATGAAGAAAATAAAATGGAAAACAATTATAATTTCGCTGTGCTAAACGCCACACTCCACACATCAATTACTTTCGGTTATATATATATATGCATGAATGTTTTCGTTGCGCACTGCCTGCCTTTGCGACTGAACATCGAGTACTCTTGCATTCGCCGTGCAACGCGTCTCATATATATATATATATATATAGTTTCTCTTATTCAAATTCGCGCAAGAACCTAATTTCATACATATCATTCATGGATCTGGTGATGTATTCACAAGCAACATAGTTCGTATGTGCGCATTCGTCGCAGTTGAGAGAAATTTTTTCATTCATCGTTTCATGGACCAACATGTGTAATAAATCATTCGACGCCATTGAGTAAAGAGATACAAAAAAACCACACACACCGAAAACGTATCGAATTCACACAGTCGAACGAACCAGAAATTGCCCCATAACGCCTAATTGAAATGCATTTTAGTCGATTAAACAACTTCATGATTTCGCATCGATGCTTCAAACATCATACTGGCGCTGAATTTAACACTCGATATGTCGAGAAATAACACACACACACAAACTAGTAACTAGATTGCATTGATTTCGAAAACCAAAGTCACGACGAGCTAGTTCGTGCTCTACAATTACACAAAACAGCATCACACAATGCGTGTGCATTGAAATTCAATATATGCAAAAACTGTGGGTACGTGAAATGTAACGATGGCAATTTGTGCATTTGCTAGCATTTGTTTTCGCAATTTCAATTCAGGTAGAGAACAGCATTTCAAGTATGGGTACGAGTGGTGACGATGACGACAACACTGTCAGCCGCACAACGAGCGATGACGGGCCAACGTCCATTTTTCCTATTCCAGCGGCTCAACGCGTCAAACGGTATGGATTGGATTTCTACGAGAAAACACTTGGCGCACCGAAATATGTCGTAAGTCAAAGGGGAAAAAAGAATATACAATCAAATTAAACTTTTCATTTTCATCAATTTCTCGATTCAGAGAATGAATACAAAAATACTTGAAATTTTTTGCTCACCCTTGTTGACAACATAAAAAAAATGCGTTTCATGATAAGGTTGCTCCAATGGTGGATCAAAGTGAATTGGCATGGAGATTACTTAGTCGGCGTCATGGTGCACAATTGTGCTATTCGCCCATGTATCATAGCAACGTGTTCATCCATGACATAAAATACCGAGAACAAGCACTTCAAAGTTGCGCTGAAGATAGACCATTAATCATTCAGGTAGGTTATTGTGTACTGAGTGAGACTATTTGCACATTTCGATTACTTTAGGTGTGACGCATGAAAAACAGACAAAAAAATAAAGGCAGACGGATAGGAAGAGAGAGAGAGAGAGAGAGAAGAAGGAAAAATGCGAAGAGAAAAAGAACAAAAAATGGAAAAATAATGCGAAAGTATCATCATATTTTCCCCTGCTGATGATGGAAAACACACAATGTGACAAAAAGAGCCAAACAAAGCAAACACATACACAAAATTCGATTGCAATCAATTTTCATTGCCACAATGAATTGATATCTGCTTTCCATATTTATATGGATAGGCTCATTGTGTTCGATTCGATTGACCTACTTTTGATTTCTCATGCGCTTATTTCGTTGTCTCTCTCTCTCTCTCTCTCTCTCTCTCTCTCTCTGAGTGTTCATTTTCTCTGTCTCTCAATTTTCCATTTATTTTTATGTATGGCATTTTGATCGGCAATCAAGACCCATGACGATGGATATGTATATTTTCAATATATTCAACATTCAAATCTATTTTTGTTGTCTGCTTTTCCGTGTTTTATGATATATCGCCAATATTTTGTTCGAATCAAATTATCTCCCGCTGATAAATATTCATTGAATTGAAACTAACAAACAAACTCTCTCTCCCTATTTTTCTATGTTTTTTTTTTATCTGCTGCTGCAATTTCGATTTTTGAATTATAGTTTTGTGGAAATGATCCGAAAATTCTATTGGAAGCGTCATTGCTGGCTCAGGATCATTGTGATGCAATCGACATTAACTTGGGCTGCCCGCAGGCCATAGCAAAGCGTGGTCATTATGGTTCATTCTTGCAAGATGAATGGCAATTACTTCATGAAATCGGTAATTTTCATTCAAAAAATAATTATATCTCATTTATTTCATTTTCTTTTTCATTTTCACTTCGGTTTTTTATTAGTCACCAAATGAACTCTTGTAACACGTTTCAAATGCAAACACGCAATTCCATGACAAATATTCATTTCACCGTTAATTTCATTCTCTTCTCTCCCATTTATTCTGCAGTTAGTACGTTACACAAAAACTTGGCCATTCCAGTAACATGCAAAATTCGACGCTTCAATGATTTGAATAAGACCATAAAATATGCGCAAATGCTCGTTAACGCTGGATGTCAAATGCTTACTGTGCATGGCAGAACGAGAGAGCAAAAGGGTCCTTTAACCGGTGTAGCGGATTGGAATTACATTAAAGCCGTTCGGTACGATGATTATTAACTAATAACCATTTGAATAGAATGAAAAAAAAAACGAAGAAAAAAACTACACGTCGGCCGTAATGAATGAAAGCTTTAATAAATAATCCCTTTCGACCTTGTTCTATGTACATGTGTTTAGGGAGAGTGTCGATGTACCTGTGCTTGCCAATGGAAACGTGCTATCGGTGGAAGATATCGATGATTGTATAGAAGAAACAAAAGTGGTTGGTGTCATGACAGCTGAAGGTAATCTACACAATCCGGCGATATTTAAACGGAATTTTGTGCCAGTGACATGGGAACTGGCCAATGAATACTTGGATATTGTCGAACAATACGAATGCCCGAGAGGATACGTTCGCGGTCATATATTCAAAATGTTACATCATTTGTAAGTGGAATTTTGCAACAAAAAATTTAAGTGTACCAAATAATCTATAAATCATTTGTTATTATCGTGTATGGGTTTTCTTTAGGCTGGCACTCAAACAAAACTCAGCAATCAGAGACGAACTGGCGACAGCGCAAAGCCTACAACAATTCCGATCATGTGTCAATCGGTTGAAGGCAACATTCGAGCCATATCATACGGGCCAAGCGGTATGGATGGAAAACGATGAACCACCAAAAGATTACAATCTATCACTGCCACCATGGATCTGTCAACAATACATTCGTCGGCCGCCCGAAGAACACATCGAATTTCTGGCACAAAAGCAGAAAGAAGCAGCCGAACGAGAGAAAAGTGATTATTTTGACGATGATGGACGGAAAATCTCGAAAAAAGTCTTGAAACGACTCAAACGTGCCGCACAGAAACAAAACGCCGATGGATTACGACAAAAGCAGACAGCACGCGGCTTCAAACTGTGCATCGCAATAAAATGTGCCAATCCAACGGTAACGATTTGTCTATATATATATTTTTGGAGTAATGTGATGTAACACAATGAAATTTGCTTATCGAACCGTCGTTTATTTACACTTTTTTTATCTAGGGTCTTAAATGTGATCATAAAATGTGCCGACAATGCTGTCGAGATAAGTGTTACACAGAGAGTCTGGTGTGCATCGGTCATAAATGGCGCGTCGAACCAGTGAAACGGAAAACAAAATCCCAACAGCTCACCAACACAGAAAACATTCAACCAGACTAACAATAAAATCGACAACGATGATACAAATGAACGATTGTAATTTGTTGTATGGATAATGTGAATTAAAGGAAAAAAATCTATATTTGAAACGAAATTTTTGAAGAATAAGTTTTTTTTCTGTTCATTTGCTGAAAATAAAAGTTTATTCACAGAGAAATATTTATATCAATGAATTTTCATGATGGTACGTAGCGCTACCTGCATTCCGAGAGTTGAATCAGTTTCTTCTGACAGTCGGACAGCCTGACAGCTAGCAATAAACAACATATGAAGGTGAACAGAAGAACATAACCTCGAAAAATTCACCTAGCCGCTGAAACTTCTCAATTAAAAACAAATAAACGATGGAAATCACAAAAGGTTTTTATGATTTAAATGTGCCGTATCAAACGAACGAGAATGAGTTGATTGCAATTTTGAATGAACTGTATGATGGTATGTTATTTCTCCTTCTTTTTTGGTTTATTTACTATGTTTTCACTCACCGTGTCATTCTTTGGTGTTAAATTTCCAGTTGGATATCGAACAATTGCAATTGATGAAACATTTGATCACACAAAATGCAATCGCAAGGCATCTGACATATTCCCTGCTCCATCCGATTTGACCAGCCTGCGAGAGAAATTCCAGAACAAACTGAAAATACTGAGCCGGCTCTCAATTGTCTTTTCACAAAATGTGATACTGCACGACATGAACACATCATCCAACATAAAGAAGTACAATTTGATCTGTGGAATTCCAGTGACAGAAGCGGCGATGCAGTATGCATGTTCAACATTACCGGGAGACATCATCGGGATGGTGCATAATGATGCAACCAAAGTGTTTTTAATCAGTCACAAGCATTATTTGATGGCGGCACGACGTGGGATTTACTTTGAAATTCAGTATGCACCCGCCATTCGCAATTCAAACCAACGAAAAGATCTTATTGTTGTGGCACAGAACATTGTCTCACATCGCAAAGCCAAAACAATTGTGATTACCGGCGGTGCATTGAATCCATTCCAAGTACGGAGCCCATACGATGTGGCCAATTTGTGAGTATAGCGAATTTATTTGTACTTTTGGCAATTGTGAAGCATAAGAGATTGATGGGATTGACAGATCGTTCGTGTTTATTTCCATTTCAGGGGTCTTATATTTGGATTGAGTGAGGAGCAGTCGAAAAGTGCAATTTCAAATGTCTGCCGAACAATCGTATTGAAAGCCGGTGAGTTTTGGTTCATCAAACTAAGTACTCATTTTCATTAGAACAAACTACGTACATATTCAATGAATGAAATGAAGAGGTTCAACAAAAATGTAACAAATGTGAATTCATCTTATATTTTCAGAGGGTCGACGATATGGAAAGACGGTGATTTTTGCCAAAAACACACAAGAGTCCAGCGGTGATGAAGAGGAAAATGACAGTGAATCAGGAGAAGAAGAAGAAGAAGAGTCGAATTCAGATGATAGCATGGACGAAGGACATCCACCGAAAAAGCAAAAATTTAGTTAATTTGAAATTGTATGTTTATGAACATGAAAAAAATATATCGTTGTTAACAAGAAAACCGTTAAAAGAAAAATAAACACCTAATGTTTGATATTAAACTTCAAAAACTGAAAGGAAAAAAATTGTGCACGTTTTTTGGGACATTTTCAGATGTGTTGTTAATAGATTTTCTGTGTATGCGTTATATCCCAATGTACATCGTGCCACTTACCACCAGAACAGAGGATCAAAAGTTTTGATTCAGTACAAGATTTATTTAAAAACTGTAATTTCTCCATCAAGAGCAAAAATCATTTATTTAAGTGTTTGTTGTGTCTTGCAGTGGTGAATATTACATAGTATGTTGTACTATTAGTGTTGCGCATTAGCGCATTGAGGTAGATTCTATTGAGGTAGATATAATTAAATGAACACTACCATAGTTTATTCTTGAAAAAGAATTTTAAATTTGACCTTATTAATAAAACATCATGGAAACAGCTCAAATCTACGTCTACTGGAATAAATCTCTCACGAATGCTGCGAATGCATTTACATTTCAAAATAAAAATTGGGTTGTTTGCGAATACGACCGAATGAGATTATGACAGCGAGCTTGTGATAACATCATTCATTCGTTCATTCCCTCATTCGTGTTTGTGCATGCATTCGCAATGCTGCCGTATGATTTCTATGTAAACATTGGTACTCGCATTCGTGAGAACATTCGAGAACAGTGAGTACGACTGCTATACAAATGCAAGTGCGAATGTTTACATCGAAATCATACGGCAGCGTTGCGAATGCATGACTCTGAGCACGAATTGATGAATAGAAATTCGAATATCAAACCGACATAACAGCCCCCAGATCTACGTTTAACCATTTTTTTAAAACTATATCAATGAAATGCAAATCCATATTGATGCTTATTATCTTGTTTTTGATATTTTTCACATTTTTGTTCTACTACATAAAGTAAAAATGAAGGAATATTAAGAATCACGTAGAGAATATTTGTGAGATTGTGCATTGTGCAGAATAAATGTCATATAACACAACTACAATGTGTTTACATTTAAAAGATAATTAGCCATTTGGGAGTTAACAAAAACTGAATATTTTCGTATATATGTTGAATGTTTTAAACATTCCATAAAGGGAACAAATTGTTCAATCATAAAATTGTTCTATAAAATATTAGATAGAATAGATTTTTGTTCTGGGTTGTTTTTATAGCTCAATTTCTATAAAGTTACGCCATTTCCTGTTGCGTGGAACTACTTTTAGTTTCCGTTGATTTTTGTTCAGGATTCGTCATAAGTTTTTCGGCAGTTTCAACATTTTCAGTCAATTCGATATCGTTTTGGTGTGGTGCAGTGTGTTTTTTGCCCAAGAATGCATCGGCAAACAGACCTCCGAATACTAATGTTGCGCCAAGCCATTGCAAGGGTGTCGATGGATTGCCAAAGTATATCGTTGAAAATAATATCGAAAAGAATTTTCGCACGGTTGTCGTGATGCTGCATGCCAACGCACCAAAACATGCCACCATGGTGTAGATGAACAATTGACCAACAACTCCACACACCGCAAACAAACAAATTTTCCAAATGATGTCGGGATGGCGGCCAATAAATCCATATACTTCTGCATATTCACCAGTTGCAATGAGTATAATTGAGAGATATATTGTTCCGAAGCCCATCATGCCAAGCAAAAATTTTCTGGGCGTTGGTGCATGTACGGCCCGAGCTCGATCTTGAATTGCTCCGAGTATTCCATCCATGACTAAGCTCAGAGCCAGCAACACAATACCAATAAAACGATAATCCGTTGTGTCATCTGTTGATGTAATTTTGCCGGCATTTTTTGGTTCGTAGAAAATGAACAGAACCACTCCAGTCACAATGAGTAACACGAAAAAGTATCGTTGAATGGGGTATTTTTTGCAAATAATCAAACCCAATATTATAACGGCAAGTGGTTTTGCCGATTTGAAAATGACTTGCATTGGATACGAGACCCACCTGAATGCTTTGTATGAGCAAGACGATGCAGTCGCATTGGCAGCTGCGGCTAGTACATAATACATGAAATGTGTTGTATCAATCTTCTCTTCAGGACTTACGGTGTCAAATACTGAAATAATTGTAAACAAATTGAATAAAATGCGAGAAAATCGATTTTTCAAAGAATTAAAGAAAAAGCGCAATTCCAACCTTTGGTGATAATATATGTAAATATATACTGCACCCCGATTAGTGTAAACTCGTAGTGGAATTTTTCTTTGTTGCCATCGCTGTCAATGTAAGGTACTTTTATCATCTTTTCCAGAAGAATTCCGATGATGAAAAACGATAAAAATATGCCCATGGCAACTATAATAAGTTTTATAATTCCATTCTCTGCCCACATGCGACGAATTGAATTTAAAACATTGATCGAATTAAAACGACTTTCATTTGAAGACGGCTTCTCAGATTGGTTATTCATTTCCATCGCTGCGTAGTTTGCTTCGGTTTGATTCTCATTCGAATTTAAATGTGACATTTTTTCTTCAGTATCGCGAGACCTTTATAATTGATAAATATAAATTGATAAATATAAACACATCAATTAAACAAGCATTCGAATATTTATCAACTGCGTTACGGTTCGTCGCTCTGTTGCCTACGTAGAAAAAAATCTATAGAGAGGTACGTACTCAAACAACGTGCTATATTAGTGACTGATATTACACATTTTGCACTGTTGTTTGCGTCAGTGTAATGTTGACAATATCGCATTCAAAATCTTCCCAGAATATGATGCGGCATGCGATGACCGAATCGTTTGTTTAGAAATTGATTTAACTAGTATTTTTCATCTCATTTTCAGGAATAAAAAAATCTTGGGAAGATTTTTGATGCAATTTTCTCGTCTCACATTTAACGCTTTCTTGAGAAAAAAATTTCAAATTCACAAAACGTTTTAGTTTTCTTTTTAAATTCACTTTTTGTTTCTTCATTCATATTCCACACCGCGACTCATTAAATCGTTCCTTCGAGTTTAGCATTAATTATACCATTTTTTCTATATTTTTGCGGCGTATTTAATCGAATCGAATATATATACGAAAGACCGAGAGATGAACAAAACTAAAACCAATGTTTCACACGTTTTCTACTCAATTTTACAAATACTGGTTAAATAAAAATTCTTACCCTCTCTATATATCGCACTAGATTTTGTAATAATGTACTCGAATTAAATTCTGCTTACACTGTTCACGATTGATTGATTGGAAGTTATATGTTCCAAGTTTCAATAGCTTTCTGCGTCGTTACGCGTCTTTCTTTTACCTCTTCATAAAACCAACTGAACATATTACGCACAACAACACACACACACACAATGGTTGCATTGTATAAAAGTGATTTGCGTCTACGACAATCCGCCGTGCCGTATATGTGATGATATTTTTTTGTTTACTCTATGCTTTCATCACTCGCGCCTGCTGTCGCCGGCTGTGATTCTGTACTTGTATTTTCGCATTTATTGCGGTGAATCTTTAACCTTGTGTGTGTCCTATCATTTGTCATTTTAATATTATATGTGTTTCTAGCTTACGAAATTCACCACCAGAGGTCCTCGATAGAATAGCAAATCTTCATCCGATTTTTTGAATATTTCTCAAGGAACGTGAGTTCATTTCATTGTACAGTTGATGCGCTGTTATACGCAAGTCAATGTGAATGTGTGGATTGTTCTCAAAAACTCACAAGTGGTTGGCATTTTCAATTTCGATCTTCTCGCAATCACATATATGCGATATTACTCCAAACAAAAGAATCCAACCAACAGCTAGAATCTTTTTTTTCGTTTAGACACACGTACACGATTTTATGCGTTAACTATTTTTTTCATACATCGACCATTCCACACGAAATCAATCAAAATTCACATCGAGGTTCTCAGAATCGGCTGAAATTTTGCACGGAAGTTGGGTTTGGGCAAAAACCCAGAAAGCCAAAATATTTCCCCCGGGTCTGCCTCTGGAGACCCTGTATGGATAGTGCAAAAATCGAAATTTCGCAAATTTTCGAATTTTTGGACCATTGATAAAAAAATTCAACGCGATCATATCTGAATGAAATTTTCACACAAGTTAGGGTTTGAAGAGCCCTTTCCAGCCCACCCTTTAGGTACCTCCCCAGATACCACCAGACCCAATTTTTGGGCTAACAAACATTCAGGGTGGGAAAAGAAAATTTATCCCCCCCTTAAGGGTCGATTTTTATTTATTTTTTTGATTTCTCACCAAAAATAGTCCAAATTTAGCGAAAGAAATTTTTGGGACAAAACATAAAAAATTTCAAATTTTTCGATTTTTCGACTGTCATGCACCCATTTGTTAGAAAAATGGCCGAAAATGGCTTCTTACGATGTTTTGATCTGAAGAAACTGCTATTTTTTCG